CCCCCCCCCCCCCCCGCTGGCGCCCCTGAGTATGTGCCCTAGTACATATTTGGCATGTATTCTATACACATCCATTATGTATCTTTTATACAGTATATCTGATATATACCTCACACATACTGCATATGTACCTGGCAAGTAACTGGTACAAACAGAGTACCGTGGCAATCAGGTACAGAACCAGTAAGTATCAGGTCATAACTGTGGTGTAACTGCAGTGTCTCTGTGTTTAGGCAGTGGGCCTCCATCAGCCCGGGAGCGTTCGCATCGCTTCAACAGGAGCCCGGGTGGACGAGATGAAGTACCAGATGACTCGAACACACTGGCATGTTACAGAGCAGCACTTCATCGGACCAGAGAAGGTTCAGGAACTTTTCCCCCTGCTTAACATGGACAAGGTTTGTATAGAGCCATACAATGATCTGAGGTCAAACAGCCTCAGTTAATAACAGTAACACTTTGTGTCTCTGTCCTTTAAAATTGCTTTGAATTGTCCCAAGGTAACGAGAGATGATAACTTCAAATCCTTCTGTGAGTTATTCCAAGTGTCAGGAGCCGAAAATCTAAAGGCCTTTTTACCAAGTTCACTTCTAACTTTTGGCACCTGCATCATAATGAAGTCCTGAGAGTGCAGATCTTAATGGCTGCAGGTTCTAGACAGAAATGAGCATAAATACAATTGAAGATGCCCAAGAAGGCATTTATGAATAAAAATCAGCCAGCGAGAGAGTCTGCGAACAGTCAAAGATGGACATTTTGCTGTAGCACACAAAGTGCAGTGATGTGTTTGATAGCTACAGTTTGTCATGAAAATTCATTGGGTCAAGCTTTGTATAAAGTACCTCAAAGCAATACTTGAGTAAAAGTATTACTTTAGTAAAAGTTAAAGTCTTCTCTAAGAATAGTACATAGTAAAAGTCTTAAAGTATTTGACATTTACGGTACTTAAGTATCAAAATTAAATTTCTGTTGTAAAATTTACTCAAGTATTAAAAGTAAAAGTAAATGTAAAGGTGAGCCATTAGAATATGTCATTAGAATGACATTTATTGGAAGGTGACCTTCCAAAAAAACATTTTTCTGAAGACCATACACTGAAAAAAAGGATCTTTGGGTGTAGTAAAATTTATTTAATTGTTCCTTTAAAATTTACAAAATAAATCAAAATCTCTAAAACGGAGGGTGCATGCACACACAAAGGCTGCTGCTCCTCAATACCTTGCTTCACTTTTCAAGGAGAGGACAAGACATGGTGGAAATAAAACATAAGTTGTCTGCTTTCTTTTGCTTCAATACATTTGTTGATGTGCAATAGTTTGATGACATAATGTAGGTGATATTTAGTTGTCAGGGAACAGGGGAATGCATATTGTAGCATTCTGCTGTGTTTGGCTGTTTGTCATGTGGTAGGATTCATGTTTGTTGTTAAATCATTTTAGGGAATTGGTTAACATTGTTCTTTCAGHDRTTAGTCTGTTGTGTTACTGTAATTTGTGTGTTCATTATTTGTTAACTTGTGTTAAAGCGTTCAGCAGAAGTAACCATAAGTGAGAGTGGTAGGCCTAGTCA